CCAATCATTCGGTCTTGGTCTGCCGCTGACACAGCGCTTTGCATTTCTACTATCGTAGGACATGTTGTGACTCTGACACTTGCCTTCCTCCTCCACAAGCGAGTGAACGCCGTTCAAGAGTCTTTCAACAAATGCACTTCCGGCGTCCCGCGCATGTTCCGACGTGATAAAACGGACCAAGAACCTGAACCTGAACCTGAGAACTCAACAAACCTAATTGAGATTACGCCTATACCACCTCGTCAAACCTCTGACAATTAGAGCAATCTAAAATGACACAATAATGATACAAGTAATCCTAAATAATGCACCCCTATGACTTCTAAAGTTTCGAACCTGATCATTCCCAAATTACCCAAGTCCTGCACCAGGATTCAGTCAGTGAGGGAGATGTTGTTTGTGTCTTGTGTGTGTCTGTTCTCTCTATGTCTCTTGAGCAGTTCTGCTGACAGTCTTAGTTTGCACGACTTTAAGTTTAATGTCGTGGAGAAGTTCATTTATTTCAGTAATTCATCTCAAATTGTGAAACTCGTATTAAATAAATTCAATGCACACAGACTGAAGTAGTTTAAGTCTTTGGTTCTTTTAATTGTGATGATTTTGGCTCACATTTAACAAAAACCCACCAATTCACTATCTCAACAAATTAGAATATGGTGACATGCCAATCAGCTAATCAACTCAAAACACCTGCAAAGGTTTCCTGAGCCTTCAAAATGGTCTCTCAGTTTGGTTCACTAGGCTACACAATCATGGGGAAGACTGCTGATCTGACAGTTGTCCAGAAGACAATCATTGACACCCTTCACAAGGAGGGTAAGTCACAAACATTCATTGCCAAAGAAGCTGGCTGTTAGTGAAAGACCCATAGAATTTATGTCACGAACATTGAATCAAGCTGAGCGGAATTATTCGCAGTTGAAAAAGAAGGGTTGGCTGTAATGTTTGGCTTACAGCGCTTCCATAAGTATTTGTATGGTCGAAAATTTACAATCGTTACTGACCATAAGCCCTTGTTGTCTTTATTTAATGAGTTAAAAGCTGTTCCCCAAATGTCCTCTCCTAGAATCCAGCGATGGGCTTTGACGAGATTTTCTATCACAGCCGCACAAACATGAAGCTCGCACATGCAGAGAGGCGCGTTTGACCGCAAGCGAACACCGAACTGAACCATCTTTCCTATCTCATTCACTCTTTGCCTTTGAACAGATGCATATACACATAAAATTATGACAAAATACTGATCTCGACAATCATAGTGGCAAATGCAGTCTGTTGTGTCTTAAGTGAACGATAACAGCTGAGAAAGAAATCGGATGTACTTGTAATTTGTGTAGCCTATTTGTTCTTATTTTTACTGGCTGTTCACTTCTCTTTAAATGGGTCATATGATGTTGCTAAAAAGAACATTATTCTGTGTATTTGGTGTAATGAAATATGTTTATGCGGTTTAAGGTTTAAAAAAAGACATTATTTTCCACATACTGTACATTATTGTTTCTCCTCTATGCCCCGCCTTTCTGAAACGTGTCGATTTTTACAAAGCTCATCGGTCTGAAAAGCGAGGTGTGCTGTGATTGGCCAGCTATCCACTGCGTTGTGATTGGCTGAATACCTCAAGCATGTGACGGAAATGTTACACCCCTTACCATACTGTGAGAATAAACATAAAACCATGACTGCATTTGTAATCGGAGAAACGACAAACAACAAGCACTACTCTACACTGCTCAAAACTCGCGTTAGAATCATAAGTGGCAAATCCTTTAAATATGAAAACGTACAGCCTGTGAGTCAGAACAGCTAGCATTGTAGTCTACTCTCCCAGGATCAGGAAGCATTCCTCCATAAAATGCACTGCACACATCTGAATATTTGGGTTGAACTGTTCTGGAGCAGTGTTGTTAATACAACTTAACCACTTATTTCTAGTCGTGTCCTCTTTTGGAAGGCCAAACAAAGTAGTTTCGCTTTCACAACGAAACACACAGCGTCACACATGGCGGGCTTGAGTGAGCGGCAGCCACATGTGACGACCCCAGGCTGGACTCTACTTCGTCCATGGTGAAAGCCGATCCGGCGATCCACAGCGCGAACTTGATGTATTTCCTCAGCGACCAGCACGGATCAGCTCTAGGCATGACGAAGCGGATATCGTCCTCTTTTGGAAGAACAAACAAAGTAGTTTCCCTTTCACAATGAAACACTCAGTGCCTTCATGACATGGAGGCAGCAACAATACTACAGCGAGAATAAAAGTTATGCCTTCTTTCTTTGCGTGAACATTTGGGCGGCATTACTCAAATCTTCCCACATAGTGACGTAGGTATGTGGGGGCGTGTTAGAACGAGTCGTTTTAGGTAGGCGTGGTTGACTCTTTGTGGTTGAACCTTTATAAAGAATATCTCTTTGGATTTGAGACTTTAGTCTTTGCAACTTTACAGATCTTCTTTATGCACCAAGAGCTTGTAACACTCCAAAGAGAAAGGAAAAATTGAAATTGCATCATATGACCCCTTTAATAATGTTTGAACTTTCTTAGGCTAAGAGTTTTTGCTGTGGTATCGTACTTATGGAAAGCAGTTACATAGATTTTTTTTTCTTGCTGATCTGAAAAACGATCCGATCCGTGGCTCAAAAACCGTAATATATTATCCGAACCGTGAGATTTGTGATCCGTTGAAAAACTAGTTTTCAGTTGTTCCCAAAGATTGCTTTTAATGAAACTTTTGTGCGATCTATCTACTCACTACTGTGACTAAAGAGCTTATACATACTGGTGGATTAACCATTAACGAAACATAAAAAATTATTTTGGTAATAATCAATACTGTTTTATATATATATATATATATATATATAGATATAGATATAGATGTTGGTGTCTCTATTAAGATCAGTCACAAACATGATCACTGCATGATCTAATCTGTAGCGTCTTATTAACTCACTGTCATCCATTGTCTGCAACAAGTTTCTTCTCCTCGTTTCGGCCGTTTTCTCGTCTGCTAAAGAAACTCTTAAGCCCGTCCTTCTCCCTACTCCTAACACTTTTTGACCGTAAGAGTTCTTTTAAGGGCTAAGATGCTTTGTGAATAACTTGGATCTTCTCTTTAATTCTACAAGGATATGCCCAATTTTCTAAGAATTTTCTTAGAATTTTGTCACTAGCAACTCTTTGCTCCCAGAATTTTCATGAATATGGGCCGTTTGATTAATTTTCAGCTCATGACAACAAATCATTTTCAGAACCCTAGTGTTTCTGTTTAGCTCATAGATTCCTAAATCTGTCATGCATTGAAATATGAAAATACTTCAGTAGAGCTGTTTGAGTATGAAACAAGGTTTTACCACAAAACCCACTGTAAACACAGTAAACTTCCTCCTCAGTTTTGAGCCATGTTCCTAAAACAAAAACATTAACATAACTGAATAAACAAACAACTGAAAGAAACTAAAAATGCTTTCGGTCTTATGAAGGAAACACCTTTCTGAATCAGGCTGGAGTCGGAATGACAAATAAACAGACATTTGATTAAAAATATTTGTTTAATGCCATTCAGAACTGAACTTGCATAGTTTCATCAGAAACACACTTAATCCCTTTACCATGAGATTAAACAAGAATGACAGATAATCAGAAACACTTCAGATTGATTTGATATTACAGTAATTAGAAACTCAGCCTTCACTAGTTTCATTTCTACAGTTTGGAAACATACAGTACTGGATTCTTCAACCGTTCACCAAAAACATAATTAAACGAGCTGAAATAAAATCATGCAATAATGTGAAAAAAGAGATGAAGTAAACATTTGAAAACAAACAACCGCACAGATAAAAACCATTATCAAGTTAGATGCATGCAAATGAAGGTCTTTGAGAGGCACGGTTCATCTGAAATGCCAGTAATAACATCAATGTCAGACACATTTCTGCTGCTGATCACAGACTGGCGCTCGTGCTGGCTGGAGGGGTCAGAGGTCAGTGTCGTGACAAGGCTCATTCATGTTTTTCTCCTTCACCGTAGAGTTTCCGAAGGCTGGAGTCCAACAGGAAATCCACCGACCTGATGAAGAACAAACAGACTGACTTAAAACACTGGGACACACACACTCACTTACACACTCTCACGCACACACACACATACTTTCTCACCTGTCGATGGGTGTGATGATGAATGGGATGGTGGAGAGGCCGATGGCGGTCGTGGTCCACTTGCGCACAGGAAGTGGCCAGCGTGTGGTTTTTCCCAGCAGGAAGAGCGACGTGGCACAAACGCGGTTGATTGTGAATCCAGGAATGGCCACTGAAGCCAAAGCCTGCCAGACGAACGTGTCGACCACAGCGACGGCCACCCGCCCCACCTTTCCATGATCCTCAGCGTGAGCCTGCAGACACAAACCAGCCGAACCATCATGAAGCGCAGACGAGAAGATGACAGACTGACTGATTCAGACCGATCCAGACTCACCGCAGCTGCTTTCCTGCCTTTGTCCAGCGCGTCAGCAGACACGTATGCAGTGGCCACGGCGTAACTGGCCCACACCGCACTGACCGGCACCAATGCGCGAAACGCCTCGCCCACCTCGTTAGCATAGCCTGCGGATGCACATGTCAGACACACACTTACATTAATGATATTAAACTTCAAAACCTCTTATCAGTCACACAGAGCTGATGGACTAAACTCAGCAGCATCTGTGTGGCTCAACTATGGATTGTTTATCATTGCTTGGACACAAAATACAGTCAATGACTACAGCTTTAAATGACATGAACTCTTTTCTCACTCAAACACAAACACTAGCAAAACTCAATGAACCTACAGGACAATTTGCAAGATTACAAGCTCTTTACAAAACTGCATTATGCAGAACTGAATAAGAAATGTGCTACCTTTCTACAGTAATACCATATTAAGATATATTCCAAATCTAAAATATGAAATGAAATACTATCAAAACCATCAGATATAAATGAACTGATACACAGTGTTGGTCTTTCAATCTCATTATCATTTATACAAAAGGGGCAACTCAGGAATCATGTTGTGCTGTAATGAAAACATGTGAAACATTTACTGCAGTCAATCTGAACTATAGAGAGAGTCATTTTATATTGTTTTATGAAGATAATTTACAGAGGAAATCATTGTGTAATTCTGCCTGTCCTTAAGATTTTTTTGTGTCACTGTTTCATGAGTGATAAAGAGTGTTTTTGGGTGAAAATCCGCACACAGTGAAAGCACTGTGTGCGGCCAGTCAAGCACACCAACACCATGGTCATTTAACCAACTTTTGGTGCTTTTGACAGTGTGGGCAGGTGCCAAATCCTGCTGGAAAATGAAATCAGCATTTTCAAAAAGCTGGTCAGCAGAAGGAAGCATGAAGTGCTCCAAAATTTCTTGGTAAACGGGTGCAGTGTGTGTGGTGGCTCTTGATGCCTTGACCCCAGCCTCAGTTCATTCCTTGTGAAGTTCACTCAAATTCTTGAATCGATTTTGCTTGACATTCCTCATAAGGCTGCGGTTCTCTCGGTTGGTTGTGCATCTTTTTCTTCCACACTTTTTCCTTCCACTCAACTTTCTGTTAACATGCTTGGATACAGCACTCTGTGAACAGCCAGCTTCTTTGGCATTGAATGTTTGTGGCTTGCCCTCCTTGTGAAGGGTGTCAATGATTGTCTTCTGGACAACTGTCAGATCAGCAGTCTTCCCCATGATTGTGTAGCCTAGTGAACCAAACTGAGAGACCATTTTGAAGGCTCAGGAAACCTTTGCAGGTGTTTTGAGTGGATTAGCTGATTGGCATGTCACCATATTCTAATTTGTTGAGATAGTGAATTGGTGGGTTTTTGTTAAATGTGAGCCAAAATCATCACAATTAAAAGAACCAAAGACTTAAACTACTTCAGTCTGTGTGCATTGAATTTATTTAATACAAG